AGATGTTGTCTCTTTTGGCTTCTTTCGAAAGGAAAAATTAAAATTCCTTGTAATCCTAAAGGGAATATAATGTCTTGGCATAGCAGGTTTGTGACTAATAGACGTGATGAACACGAGGGGCAGAATGTACGTATTAAAAAAAAATTGTGGCTTTGTCAGAAATGCCTTAATATTATTTTGTTGGATATGAAAAAATCATCATTACACATAATACAAATGTGGATCTGTAAAGCAAAACCACATGCAGGAAGAATCTATGAAGTACAGAATATGAGCCAGAACAAATCATATCCTTTATGTCTTCTATCATATCCTTTGTCATCTTCTATCTGACATAATATTTTAACTATTATTCTACTAGAATTTTTTATTTCGCAATTAGTTAATTTTCTCTGCACTGATCAAAACTCAATCTAAAAGATTTTTCTCTCCTAATCTAAAGCCGATTTTGTCTGTTGAAAAAAGATTGCTGCATACATACATTTCATAATGTTGTTTTATTAATATAGCGTTCTTTATTTAAGCCAGCTTTTTAATGGTATATTTGCCATGTGTAAATGTGCATCATTTGCCAACTAAGGCCAATATTCTGGTTATGCTTTTAAAATGAACTTCTGGAAATACTAGAGAAGTCAAATCATCAATTCTCATTATTGTTTTTCACAAATATTTTATACAACACCAATATTTTATAAAATAAAAACATCACCTAGGATTCCCTATATTTGGACAAACACAGAAATAAATAAATGTTCAGTTCGAATATGATGTTGAATTACCCAAAATTCAGATTATTTCCATTCAATGGCTTATTCAGCTGTAGAAACTGCTACTGCTGGAATATTGGTTTAATTTATGGCAGTCAGGTTAATACATTTATATGACGCGAAGAAGAAGATGAAGACGATATAAGAATATGACCAAATTCTGATTCATATCCGAATTTTATTGTGCATCTAAACGCAATGAATGACTGTGGTTCAAAAATAAATAAAGATAGTAAAAATTAAGGAAATTAGTCAAAATAAAAAATAATGTATATAAAAAAATGAAAGTAGGCCTATCATTAAAGCAATACATCATGCATCATGAATGCAATGACAGTTCATAAATTATGGCTATAATTCGCGTGCTCGCTATCGACTTGACATAAAACTGTTGATGTAGGCTATCAGTTATATTTTGGTGTCAGAACATGTTGCAGATTCACCTGTTATCTAATCAAATCAAATCAAATCAAATCAAATCAAATCAAATCAAATCAAATCAAATCAAATCAAAACTGGACAAGACAAACATCAGACATCAAACAGAAATTACAGACAAAAAAAAGACCCACCTGTAAGTCAATAAGACACATATACTGCGCAACATCTGCAGTTTTACAATATAAAGGAGTCAAAATTACCCATAAACTGACACTGAAATTGGTTCACCAAAACGAGTTATCGACTAACCGTCAATAACACCTTAAGTATGCCTACATTAGTCAAGAGGCAGCCAAGCATCAGTTCAAGCAGATGAGTAAACCTCATTCACCTACGCACATTACTAATTTATTCCCTACATTTACTGCGGTTCTGTGGTGACAGGCTTGGCACAGTTGTACACTTTTAGGAATTTCATGACAAATGTTTTTCAGACTTTGAAGCGCCTCATCTCGCAGCACAATGGACAGTGGGCATATGGATAACCAACACACGCTGGCCTTGGATTGCTTTGTTAATGGCCACAATGCCCCTCTTGTTTTGTAGTAACTTTAATATCTTTTTAGGGGCATAATCACTTGATGATAGTGCTATCTATGCTGTCCTAACAAAGGCCAGAGCCACTCAAGACCCAAGAAGACAAACGAGAGGGACATTCCAAGTCCCCCACCAAACCATTAAAAAAACTAGTCAAAACATCATCTGTCAACCTAGATTATATCACATCAATATGGAAACCCCCCAAAGGAAGAGTGAAAGAAAACTTCTTAATGTGCCTCAAAACATCACCAGGTTTTAAACAACCACCACAATATCTCAACCTACTTATATGGCCTGACATTACTTTTTTTATTATTATTTACCAGTGCAGTCACTTAAATTCAGACCCTAGGACAGTTTTTATGGGTGGGCCCCCATCATCACAGACCCCAAGAGAATATTCCTAGTTCCCCACATCCTTTCTTGGGATACACTGACAATTTGAGAGTTGTCCAACCATCCAGGCTTGGATTTGGTGACACGAGGATCCACAATTTAGATTATAAATTACAAAAATCATAGCCTTCTGTTGGCACAGTCAGAAGCAATTTAAGGTTACTGCAATAGTGCAATGTTACATGTGAGAGATAATAAAACTATTGACTGTAGATGCACACTGAACTGGAACAAGCTCACAGCATATAACTTAAGTACTTGCAAAAATTGCGGCCTTTCTCATATTGCTCAGTACTCCCAACTGTATTCCACAGCATGACTGCAAAAATTTGTAGGTGCAAATTATTGAAGGTGCAACTAAAGTGAAAAATGGACTGTAGGGGGGAACGTTGTAGAAAATGATTTATTTCATTAACATTGTGGGTTTAAGTGTGATCAGGATGTGACTCACTCTAATGGAATACTTATCAAACATAACATCATAGTTTGTCTTCACTATGATATCATGCTCCACTAACTGAAGCAATTGAAATTAGAAAATGACAAAAGAATGATATATGGAATGGAATCCTTCAAGTACAGTGATATGCACCATTTAAACTAGTGCTGTTATACTTTCAAAATGGAACACATTACAAATTCAGTCCTGTACCAATGCAGAACTTGCATCATTCAGGGTTTTAAAAAGAACAACATATTTGGTACCTATTTTGGTATGGAGAATTGTTAAAGTTAGCTGTAACTTTAGCCCATGGCAGTATTCAACCTAATGTGAAAGTATCAAGAGAATCAAGGTATTAAATACATTACACTAGCAGTGTTGGTCTGTCTCTAAATGACTTTTCAATTCAATAAAAGGTAGGGTGTCAGGTCAACTGCAATCAGATAGCAATCTATGAATAAAAATCCCTTTTTTAATATGTTGAAATTAGAAGTAATCTGTAATACATTTTTAAAACAATTTTACATTTAAATTAAATTTTCTCAACCTAATATACTAAAAATGAATGTAGTCATTACATTATAACATAAAACCAGTAAGACCTACGTTCATCTTTGGAAAACAAATTAAGATATTTTTGATGAAATCTGAGAGCTTTTTGACCCTCCATAGACAGTTCTGATGAGTGCTTGTGGTGATATTTGACTCCTTAAAGTGATTAACAGCGGAATTTTGTTTTTACCATTGTAATGGCATTTTTCTAACTTTATTAAAAGTTTGTCATCTTTTGTCAAATTCGTAAAAAATTATATTTTAAGCTTTTCAAAAATTGTAATTAAAACGATAGAATAAGAACAAGTAGAATAAGAAACATAAGTTAAAAGTTTGTCATCTTTTGTCAAAGTCTTTAAAAATTATATTTTCTAAGCTTTTTAAAAATTAATTAAAACGACAGAATAAGAACAAGTAGAATAAAAAAAAGTTAAAAATCAAATGAAATCAGTATTAACAAAATTAATTTGTAGAGGTGGCACAGAAGAACAAAAAAGGGGCTTGGGGTACTTTCAGACATTTAATGAGGCTCAGAGGTAGCATGAGTGCAATTAAATCCATAAATTCATGATGAGATTAATGTTTTAAATACAGAAATATTAAAATGATTTAAATAACTGAAAATATACTTTAAAAATTAAACTAAAACTGCCAGCAGGTGGCGGCAAGTCACTTATTTTTTATCACTGAATTATTCATTAAATTGATTAATTCGAACGGCTGATTCATTCAAGAATGAATCAAGTGACTATTTATGAATGGGTAATCATGAATCACTGACTCACTAGATTGGTTTAAAAACGCCCCTTCATTAATAAACGAAACACCACTGTGTTTGAATGGAGATGCGCTGGGTCTTTGTTTTAAACTATTTTCGACGACGAAATAGAGCAAAATCAGATACAATTCAGATGTTATAGGCAGACAATGCAAGTCACTTAATATTAAATTCTTGTTTATTGAACTGTTGTATTTAAAAACTCCCTTTAAAATAATTAAAAGCTGTCACTCATTAGTTCATCGCGAGCTCACATTTATAATCAACGAATATTTATGAATGGGTTATCATGAATCACTGACTCACTAGATTGGTTTAAAAACGCCCCTTCATTAATAAACGAAACACCACTGAGTTTGAATGGAGATGCGCTGGGTCTTTGTTTTAAACTATTTTCGACGACGAAATACAGCAAAATCAGATACAATTCAGATGTTATAGGCAGACAATGCAAGTCACTTAATATTAAATTCTTGTTTATTGAACTGTTGTATTTAAAAACTCCCTTTAAAATAATTAAAAGCTGTCACTCATTAGTTCATCGCGAGCTCACATTTATAATCAACGAATTATATCAACTCTCAACACTGCGCAATGAATCTCTAATTTACATCCTGTCTACACTTTGCTTATGAAAGGATTCGTGAGATATGTCCGATACATTACTCAACGCTGCACAAACACATACACCTTTGAAGCTCCCCTGAGCGATCACAAACACGAATATGATGATCGGGTCAATCGCACTGGTGCTCCTAAAAGTTTTCATAGTCGCACGCAGTAGTTTTCAGTCACAAATGCGACTGAAATGGTCTCACTGTAGAGCCCTGCTGGTGTATTAGAGGAAAACCTGTGTGTGGTCTAAAACAAAATTTGATAAACAGAGCATTAGGTATACATAACCTTTACTTGTTACTTCATCTAAATCTTGTGTAAACATCTTTTTTTCCAAAGTAGTGAACTTGACTCATTTTAATGCTTAAAGCTTTCCTATCATTATACTTAAAGATAAACTTTTAAAATATGCTCATAAGGGGAAAGGGTTTCATTCAAGTAAGCACTAGATCTGACATTGAACAGGTGGAAATGACAAATGGGAGTTAAATATCCAACACTGACAAATAAATATCGAATATCACTGATACAATCAACTTACAGAAAAACCCCCATTAATATTGGCTAATAATTTAAATTGTCATGATATATTGTGCATCCCTAGACAAGTTCTACAACAATGTTCATACCAACCACCCAGTCCAGCTCAGTCCTGATTACACATGCTTTAGGCATGTCCGTCAAAGCTAGACGCAAGTCATTGGTGTGCAAATAGGGACTTTCCCTTGTGTCCACCTAAACATTTCCATGCTCCTAATCTGCACATAATGATCTCTGGCAAGAGGACAAGATTTGCTGCTGAGGTTTCAGAAACAGATTGGAGTGTGGACTCCTGCCAAATGTTTTGGGGTGCAGGTCTCTGAGTGTGCGCAATGAGAACAGCAACCTCAAAACCAACCAGACAGACAAAAACAATGAGGAACAAGTGGTAAGGCCAGCTCGGTGCCAAAGGTCTTTCCGGGACCTGTGGGAAAGTTGAGTAATGAGGGTAGAAGAAACTTCTACCTTTTGTGATGCTCCGTTAAGCAAGCCTCTGTCCCACAATGCTTTGTTCCCTGTGGGGTCCTCATCAACGTCATCGCTGGTGTTGGGAGGCAGGCGGACCTGAAAATAAACATGAAATGAGTATGCAGTCTGTAGCAAATGTATACAGATGATGACACCTCAATTTATTGCGTTAATTTTTGTGAAAATGCAACTGCTAACAAATTATGCCACTGGCAATTTGTCAAGATGTTAAAAAGCTCATCTATACTAAAATATTCCCTGGAATCAAAGAGTTTACACTGACTTGGCAAACAAACTCAGTATCTGGTACATGTGTGATACTGGTCTTAAAGATTTCAAAACCAAACAGGTGATGACACTTACAATGCAGATATTTCCAAACTTATCCGCAGCAGCCATGGTGTCATAATCAAGCAGGCAGGCAGTTGTGACCCAGCGAGGATATGTATCGTCGGCAAAGATGATGAGCTGGTTCTCGTTGCGTCTGTAGCGCACCCAGAATAGACTTTCCTGAACATCGGATACTATCACGCGCTGCCCAATAGTGTGGATGCCCGTTACCAAGTTAGGAACATGCTGCAAGAACAAAAAAAGGAGACTTAGTCATTTTGGTTGGAGGCAGGTTGGACCTCTTTTTAAAGCTTATGTCAAAGACATACAAAATCTCATTAAAGGAGCAACACTTTCTCTACTTGGCTGTTTCTCAAATATATTAACACTTTATGCCAGTGCCGATTACTTATGTGAAAAATAAACTTGTCTGCAAGCTTATTTAACTTCACTTCAGTGCTCGACCACTTTGTGGTCTGAACTTCAGTTTCAATGTTTTTCATGTGGTTATGCATCAACATGAAGTACTAAAGTAGTGCGTCACTGATGTTACTTTCATATTTTTCAGTGTTTCAAAGAAACGAAAAATGCTTGTTCACTTCCTCTTGAAAAAAAAAAAAACACCAATCTGCATCTTATTTTCAAGCAATTGTCATTATTAATTGGGTGCTAACAGGTATACCACAAGTTAGAAAATGGCTGTTGACATCTGCTACCATTCAGACATGAGCTTCAATGAGCTCAGGCTCGGTCTAGGTCAACGAGTTTGAATTCATCCCGAAAGAGTTGTGGGGCTCAGGTCTGAGCTTGTGGAGGTCAATCAAGTTCCTCCACACCAGAACCACTAAATCACTTGGTGCACAGGGGGCATTGTCATGCTGGAATAGACTTGCGCCCAAAGTTGGAAGCGCAAATTTCTTCAGAATTTCATTGTATGTAGTAGCATTATGATTCGTCGTCACTGAAATTAAAGGGCCAAACCAAACCCCCTAATTATATGTGACTGCCCACAAACCTTTGGCCACAGTGTATATAAGAATGTTTTCAGAACAATTTGCAGATAAACAAGAGAACTTTGTTATGCAATACATTCAGAAGCAGCCTTTTTACACTGCAGTTGCGGACTGTTTATTATTACTAGATACACTCAACTGTTGATATAACTCCATCAATGATTTATCTTTGAGGGACCACCACAGTAACCACGGCTTATTTCACAGTACTTGTCACTTTTACGGCTCGTCAATGTGGAATTACCCTTGCAAACATGCGCTGTGACGAGGCAGCCACAAAACAGACATGACAGACAACTTCCGACAAGAAAGCAATGAAGTTCTGCCTCAGTCAGTGATTAGATTTGGAAAACGAGTGTCTGAGTCAGAGAGAGAGAGAGAGGTTTAAGAAGTTGGCCAGAAAAGAACCATTTAACATTTGGCTTTGATATGTAGCTGGGTCAAAGCATCATTAAACATCATATAAACTGGACCACAAACATTCACAACATGGCATTTTTGGGACATGGCCAGAACACCTACACCAAAAATTGTGATTTGCTACGCTTAAATGGATTTCTAGGGCACATTTAATGATTTGTGGGGAATTCCACATTGCTGAGCCCCCAGCTAACACATGGGACCAATCAGTAGTTTCATGCCAAGTCATTTCCTGTTACGCTCACCTTGTGTAAAAACTCCAGCTTGTCCCCACCTCCAACTAGCCGATAGGTATAAATATAACCCCCACCAACGGAGCGAGGATTTAGTATCATATCTCTGGCAACACCCACCAACACATACCAATCATCCCCTCCATTGGAAAATCGACATACAGCCACACTGCAAAACATACAAATAAAAAGGAATTAAGGTCAGAGAAAGAGTTGGGATATGGAAGAGACTAACTTAACGTGGTTCAATGTCAATATTCTAAATTCAGAAAAAATGGTCTGGGTAGAACCGGAAGGGAGTTCAAGTCTGCATTGTCCTGTTCAACCCTTATGTTCAACAATCCTCACCTGAAAGCAGCCTCGTTCTGCTCCAGCTGCACCAGGTCCAGTGTGTTTCCTTGGATGGGGTTGATCATGCGCACTAGTGAGGCCCACTGCCCAGAGCCTGCTTTAGGTGCCCCAAAGATCGCTTCTGGCAGGTTCTCGTTCAAGAAAGCTGCTGCCATTTCTGCAGCCAGCTCCCTTTCATCCTCTCCCGCTGCCTCCACCATTTCCTGTAGAGCAGAAATAAAGAATTGTAATTTTTTTCTGATACACTACGACTAAAAATAATTGACACCAATCTGCATCTTATTTTCAAGCAATTGTCATTATTAATTGGGTGCTAACAGGTATACCACAAGTTAGAAAATGGCTGTTGACATCTGCTACCATTCAGACATGAGCTTCAATGAGCTCAGGCTCGGTCTAGGTCAACGAGTTTGAATTCATCCCGAAAGAGTTGTGGGGCTCAGGTCTGGGCTTGTGGAGGTCAATCAAGTTCCTCCACACCAGAACCACTAAATCACTTGGTGCACAGGGGGCATTGTCATGCTGGAATAGACTTGCGCCCAAAGTTGGAAGCGCAAATTTCATTGTATGTAGTAGCATTATGATTCGTCGTCACTGAAATTAAAGGGCCAAACCAAACCCCCTAATTATAAGTGACTGCCCACAAACCTTTGGCCACAGTGTATATAAGAATGTTTTCAGAACAATTTGCAGATAAACAAGAGAACTTTGTTATGCAATACATTCAGAAGCAGCCTTTTTACACTGCAGTTGCGGACTGTTTATTATTACTAGATACACTCAACTGTTGATATAACTCCATCAATGATTTATCTTTGAGGGACCACCACAGTAACCACGGCTTATTTCACAGTACTTGTCACTTTTACGGCTCGTCAATGTGGAATTACCCTTGCAAACATGCGCTGTGACGAGGCAGCCACAAAACAGACATGACAGACAACTTCCGACAAGAAAGCAATGAAGTTCTGCCTCAGTCAGTGATTAGATTTGGAAAACGAGTGTCTGAGTCAGAGAGAGAGAGAGAGAGAGAGAGGGAGAGGGAGAGACGGATATAAGGGAAAAAAAATTCCAGAGGAGATGAAGACAACCAAAGCATTGTTTCTTAACAGCGACCTGTGAAGGCCAGGTTCACCGACCTCAGCCATCTGCTGCTTGCGCTGGGCTTTGGTGGCTTCAGTGTAGGCATTGTGGTCCGTTTCGATCAGGATCAGGTTATTCGTCTCTGGGTGGATGACAAACTGACAAACTTGATACTGCAGTGGGAATGCCACCTGGTTGAAGATGGCACCCAGTTTCTCAAGAGCCAAAATCCTGAGGGAGTGAGGGAGGGATGGATGAGATGGTAAAAAAGGCATGCAGTAAATTTAAAGGCAGAGTAAAAAGTTTAGACATCAGTTACAGATTGTATTAGTCATTATGAAATCCTGGAAGTCAAAACCACCCGTTTCCTGGCTATAATTTGACAATCATGCGTGTGCTGATAAAATGGCAGCGATTTTTTTTTTTTAAATCACAAAATAAAAGAGATTGTTAGCTACAAAAGGTCAACGAGTACAGACCTCCAACACAAACATGAAATGTTTTACTAATTTTACTGTGATAACCTTTTTTATAGCACTACTTGACTAATAAAAACAAATAATCCAATCCAAAATTAGATGTCATGCAGCAGCAAGCCAGTAAAAACATTTAGGAAAGAGAGGTCCTCACTTCTGTGAATTGCGAACCACCTTCAAACTAAAGCAAATATTTTTTAAGTTTAAAGGGTTAGTTCACCCAAAAATGAAAATTAGCCCATAAATTACTCCCCCTCAAGGCATCCTAGGTGTATATGACTTTCTTCTTTCAGACGAATCCAGTCAGTTATATTAAAAATTATCTTTGATCTTTCAAGCCGTTTAAATTTCAGTCAGCGGGTCCGACCTCATACATCATCCACTCGGAGCTGCTTCCGTGTACAACAGTGAGTGCAAGCTAGATTAAATTGATTATTACGTTTTATATATATGGTTATTTTTCTTACAAAAACGCATTGATTCGCTACAGAAGGTCTTTGTTCATCCCCTGGAGCCGTGTGAGACACTTTTTTATTATGGATGGGTGCTTTTTATTTCACTTCTTTTGGACTGATGCATTGCAACACCCGCTGACTGACATTAAATAGCTTGAAAGATCAAAGAGAATTTTTAATATAACTCCGACTGGATTCGTCTGAAAGAAGAAAGTCATATATACCTAGGATGACTTGAGGGTGAGTAATTTATGGACTAATTTTCATTTTTGGGTGAACTAACCATTTAATTGTGGCATTCCACAGGGATCAATCCTTGGGCCGGTATTGTTCACCCTGTATATGCTACCTCTGGCTTCCATTTTTAACAAATATAAAGTATCCTTTCATCTATATGCTGATGATACTCAGATCTATTTTCCTTTAAAGAATAATGATTAAAATGGCTTACAACCACTGTTGGCCTGTTTAGAAGAATTTAAGCTTTGGCTCTCAAGTAATTTTCTAAATTTAAACGAAAAATAAAACTAAAATAATTATATTTGGGCATAAGGAAAATTGTGTGTTAGATGTTGACTGTGGCTCTCTGGCCCCATATGAAACTCAGTGCGCTAGAAATCTGGGCGTTCTGTTTGATAATAACTTTGACAAACAGATGCTGTGCTCTTGTAAAATCATGCTTTTTTCATCTCTGTCAACTTTCTAAAGTGAAATCCTTCTTATCACAGAGTAACTTCCAAATGGTGATCCATGGATTTGTAACAACTCATTTAGATTATTGTAATTCACTTTATTATGGTGTTTCTCAGTCTTCCCTCTCCCGTCTACAGCTAGTGCAAAATGCAGTTGCTAGACTACTCTCTGGCACCTGGAAGTATGAGCCGGAAACTCCTATTTTATCTGCACTGCACTGGTTACCCATCAAATATAGAATTGATTTTAAAATTCTATTATTTGTTTATAAAGCCCTCAATAATTTGGCCCCTCAGTACCTGACAGACCTGCTCCGTCCATACACCCCTTTTAGAACTTTGAAACTTAGAACTTTGAACTTAGATCCAGTGATCTCGGTCTATTCATCGTGCCTAGATCTAGACTTTAAAAAATGAGGTGATCGCGCTTTTGTAACTGCAGGTCCGAAACTCTGGAACAGTCTACCTCTTCATATTAGGTTAACCCCCTTCTATTTCTGCTTTTAAGTCTGCTCTAAAGACATATCTATTCTCTCTAGCTTTCAATACACCTTGATCATTGGTTCAATTGTTGTTTTGTAATTGTTGTGTTTTAAATTTGATAGTATTGTCATTCATTTTATTTCTCCGTTTTTTATTCTATTCTATACAGCACTTTGGTCAAATTCGGTTGTTTTTAAATGTGCTTTACAAATAAATATTGTATTGTATTGTGTGTGTATATATATATATATATATATATATATATATATATATTTACACTAGACTCTACCATGATGCTTTAAGCGTCACGTCGACTAGTCGCTGGTCCTATAGAGGGCACAACAGGTTAAGAAATCTTTGAAGAACTTCCACATTTACACTCAGTTTCCAAACAGTTCAAATGACAAATAAATGCATACTCTGAAAGCGCTCCACAAGACATGTGAGATTATATTACTGGATGCTCGAAATTGAATGGGAGAATGCACGTTTTAAACCGCTTATTGTACAGGTAGGTAAGTTAATCGCCGTTCTAATCTAATGCGCTGCACTGTAACACACAAACATAGGCTACAGACAGTAGCTCGTACATCACGCACACATCGCGCGCACACCAAATCATTCAGCGCGGAAATGTATTGTCAATACTGTTCTGTGATTTCTCAATAAAATAGCTTTGAAACTGAAAAGTTCAAGCATATATTCTTAACTAAATCCCACAGCTTCACTACTAAAGTCGTGGTAAGTTTAGGGAAGTCGTGGCCTAATGGTTAGAGAGTCGGACTCATAACTCAGAGGTTGTGGGTTTGAGTTTCGTACCGGCAGGGATTGTAGGTGGGGGGAGTGAATGTACAGCACAGACAACTTCCGACAAGAAAGCAATGAAGTTCTGCCTCAGTCAGTGATTAGATTTGGAAAACGAGTGTCTGAGTCAGAGAGAGAGAGAGAGGGAGAGACGGATATAAGGGAAAAAAAATTCCAGAGGAGATGAAGACAACCAAAGCATTGTTTCTTAACAGCGACCTGTGAAGGCCAGGTTCACCGACCTCAGCCATCTGCTGCTTGCGCTGGGCTTTGGTGGCTTCAGTGTAGGCATTGTGGTCCGTTTCGATCAGGATCAGGTTATTCGTCTCTGGGTGGATGACAAACTTGCGAGGTGTATACTGCAGTGGGAATGCCACCTGGTTGAAGATGGCACCCAGTTTCTCAAGAGCCAAAATCCTGAGGGAGGGAGGGATGGATGGATGAGATGGTAAAAAAGGCATGCAGTAAATTTAAAGGCAGAGTAAAAAGTTTAGACATCAGTTACAGATTGTATTAGTCATTATGAAATCCTGGAAGTCAAAACCACCCGTTTCCTGGCTATAATTTGACAATCATGCGTGTGCTGATAAAATGGCAGCGATTTTTTTTTTTTAAATCACAAAATAAAAGAGATTGTTAGCTACAAAAGGTCAACGAGTACAGACCTCCAACACAAACATGAAAAGCTCCACATCACGCTGCAGAGTATGGCTCGGTCCAGCCTGTCTCTCCTCATGGGCTCGGGAGAGCTGCCAACACAGAGACAGCGGGAGGCTGCAGGAACTTTTTCAATACTGGACGTTGCAGTGAGTGAGTCCGATTAATACACACTCGCTCCTGCTGTCCCACGGCTCCTCCAGTCAGATGTCTTATTGTCTTTGCCCTGTTAGCTTTTAATTAAAACCCAGCTAGTAATTTAAGCCCTTAAAGGGTTCTCTATAGTCCCTGTGTATTGAAAGCAGATGTGGATTTATTACAGCGTGTGACATGAATCATTGAAATACAGGCTCTATGCGGATGAGGATTTAGAGAGGTGGAGTATGAGAAACTTCATGAATATCAAGAGATTTTTTTTAAGTTTAAAGGGTTAGTTCACCCAAAAATGAAAATTAGCCCATAAATTACTCCCCCTCAAGGCATCCTAGGTGTATATGACTTTCTTCTTTCAGACGAATCCAGTCAGTTATATTAAAAATTATCTTTGATCTTTCAAGCTGTTTAAATTTCAGTCAGCGGGTCCGACCTCATACATCATCCACTCGGAGCTGCTTCCGTGTACAACAGTGAGTGCAAGCTAGATTAAATTGATTATTACGTTTTATATATATGGTTATTTTTCTTACAAAAACGCATTGATTCGCTACAGAAGGTCTTTGTTCATCCCCTGGAGCCGTGTGAGACACTTTTTTATTATGGATGGGTGCTTTTTATTTCACTTCTTTTGGACTGATGCATTGCAACACCCGCTGACTGACATTAAATAGCTTGAAAGATCAAAGAGAATTTTTAATATAACTCCGATTGGATTCGTCTGAAAGAAGAAAGTCATATACACCTAGGATGCCTTGAGGGTTAGGGTTGAGTAATTTATGGGCTAATTTTCATTTTTGGGTGAACTAACCCTTTAATCTCACCAAAACTGCCAAGCCACGTCCAGGTCATATTTTATCCCAAAATGGAAAAATGCAGAAGGATGGAAACTTTAGGACCAAGATTTGCCTCATTCATGCACATTTCATTTACTTCTAAACTATGAGTATCAGATCACTGGTCAAGTAGGAAAATCATAAGTAAACGCATTAAAGCACTACGGCAACTGAAATCTACGAAACCAACCACAATATGCTTGATATTAATGTTCTCACAAACCTGTGAAGTTCTACAAAGCTCACATTATGAACAGTATCCACAGTATGTGTGTTTACCTCAGTGTGTTGGTGGAAATGGCAACAATACCCTCAGGACACTGTTCGGAAGCAAACCCTGAAGCATACTCTAAGGTTTCATATGACAATGGGGTCAGGTGGAAACGAGACTGGTATGAGTAACTCAGCCAGGAACGACTAGACATGGCCAGAACCTGCACAGTAAAAGGTAATGTAATGAGGTCAGCAAATTAGCAAGCTGTGCAAGATTGCAACAGACATAAAATGTAAAGGTGACTCACAGCATCTTGGGCCTGCATCCGGACTCTGAAAAGCTTGACAGGACGAGAACCAAGATACCGAGTTCGAGTATCAGACAGGTCCCCGGTCACTGGATCCAAAACAGTACGCAGTAACACTCCGTTCTACAAACAAAGAGGTGATTATGGTAAGAAAGAAGCAATGAATTGTCCAGTAAAGTCATATCATCAAGTAACAGGACAGTCACATTGTAACTCTTATGGTCTCCTTTCAAAGATCTTGTCCCAAATGGCACATTAGAAGTATTTTTCTTACAGTAAACAATTAATCCGTTTCATTTTTAAAAGTTTGACCTCATAACTTGAAGTGATTTTGCAGCTTTTGCTTTTTAGCAGAGGAAATGACTGGAGAAGTCTGGCTTATGTCAAGATAAGTCTGTTTTCTACACCGGAAGATTGAGTTTTTGAAATTTACGAGGTCAAAAACTAAATTAATTGTTGAATTTGGGTGGATTTTCATTTCATGCACACTAATAAATATTTAGCAACTAAAATTATACTCTAAGCAAAGCCCTCCTGGAGCAACACAAGGACGCATGCCTTGCTCAAAGGTACATGGAAAAGCTCTCAATTTCTCATTTCGCCAGTAGCTGGGAATAGACATGACATTTCTGTTATCACCCCAGAGCAAGCACAAGAGTTTCTAACCTGCAAGCCAATGTTGAGGTATAGAAAGCCAATGGTGCCCTTTTCTCCCAGCTCATCCTGTTTTTGCACTCCACCCATCTCCACAATACAAAGTGACTCCGGCTGGGCGGGAAGAGCCTGCATACTCAACGGCTGTAGACAGTCCTGTGCAACAAAGAAATTACACACAAGTTCAGTGGGCACAGTGACTAGAATCCTTGTTTTAATGTCCAAATCAGCTGACCAATGGAAGAAGAGCAAACTGTAGCTTACGGATGGATCCAGGGAGATGATGCGGACTGTATTGTCCACCAACCCAACAGCCAGGAAACGGGAACGCTGTTCACCAGGAGGCACATTTGCCAAACTCATGCACACCACATCTGCCGACATCTCCTTCCTCTCAGTGTATTCATTCAGCTGCCCAGACTGTAAAGAAAGAGAGAAATCTTAATTGAAAGACAGACATTCAAACAATAGGTGAACATTCAGGTGACAAAAGTAAAGTATGTCCGGAAACATACCGGGTCCATCTCAAAGTAGACCAGTTCTCCTCCAGTCAAAGCAATGACCACCTGCCTCTGATTGACAGCACATCGGACAATCGTCTTCTTCCCTGGAGTCTTCCATTCATTCACTCTCTTATCTGCACGGATATGACGGATCCCATCTGGGTAGACCTGTAGAGATTCAGCAAATTAAACAAAACCCATTTGAATGAGATAAATGGAACATTAAGCACAATTGTTTAATCTCAGGGATTAAAGTGTTCCGTCGCTCTGACGGATTTCCATCAGTTCATAAAGACAGTCACTTGCTTCATTCCTGAATGAATCAGTCGTTCGAATGAATGATTCAGTGATAAAATCAGTGACTTGCAGCCACCTGCTGGCGGATTTAGTTTCATTTTTAGCGTATAATTTCAGTTATTTAAATCATTTAATATTTCTGTATTAAAAATTGTATATTTAAAACATTAATCTCCACATGAATTTAATTGCACTCATGTCACCTCTGAGCCTCATTAAACGTCTGGAAATGTACTTACAAGCCACTTTTGTGTTCTTCTGTGCCACCTCTGTAGTATAAATGAACTTATGAATACTAATTTCACATGATTGGTAACTTATTTGTCTTATTCTACTTCTTATTATATTGTTTTAAATAGAAACTTTAAAAAGCTTATCAACAAATTTTTGAATTTGACATGAAAATGATGCCATTATAAAGGTAAAAAGAAAATTCTCCTGAAAGCCACTTTAAGGAGTCAAATGTCACTTTGTATTAGGAAGGCTAATTTTTGATTATTGATCAGAAGATCCTACATTTTTTAAATTAGGAGGACAAGCGCTCCTGACTGAAATTATACGCTAAAAATGAAACTAAATCTGCCAGCAGGTGGAACTGACGGAAATCCGCCATAGCGACGGAACACTTTAATCCCTGTAATCTACTTGTTGGAAATAAACCAATTAATTTAAAGGGATAGTTCACCCAAAAAAGAAAATTCAGTCTCCCTCATGTTGTTCCAAATCTGTATGACTTACTGCTGAAAACAAAATATATTTTGAAGAATGCAAGTAACAGTTTTCAGTGAAAGAAAAACTCAGGTTTGGAACAACCTGTAAAAGATTTTTGGGTGAACTTTCACTTTAACAAGGAAGCAGAAAAGGTTCAATGGGATATTGTGCGTGCATGTAGGTAAGACAGATGTTGCTCACTTGCACAAGTGCATCTTCCCCAAGCAACGAGCATGACAGGGTGGGTGTTGTGCCCAAGAAACCAGAGTCTGTCACTTCTTCCACAGTCTCACCGATAGAAAGCACCAGGGTAGCATTAACGAAGGACACAATGATGTAGGCATCAAACTCATCTGTGAAAAGGAAACCCACAATTATGTGGTTGGAAACTTTTGCCAAATGTGGGCTAATTTGCAACCATAAAAGGAAACCTATATATATATATATATATATATATATATATATTAAGGGTGGGCGATATGACCAACGTCTTATCTCAATATGAGTAATCGTATTTCATGGCAACGATATATCACAATATACTTGTTTTAGAAATGTCATAATTTATAATAAAATGTATTGATTATTCATAATAATTTAATTAAACAGTTACAAGAAACTAATTACAAGCAATAGGACAAAAAAAAACTACAGTAGAACAAATAAGTAATGCTACATACATAGTATAAAATAATCAAATGTATAAAAACACCATTCTTCACTGTGTAAATTAAATATTTCATTTTTATGCTAACTATCCCTTCAAAATATTTTTCTATAATAGTATCTAAAAAAAACACCTGGAGTAAATGAACAAGGCCCTATTTCGCTATTAGCTTACCTCTCACAAAGCTGTAGTCAAAATGAAACTGAATCCCTCAACCACTCCAGTACACAGACCACAATATAAACCTTGCAGAGCTCAGGCTGCACGCACAGGCCAAAAAATCTAATAGCGAATCACATGATTTCAGAGAAATATCTGGCAGACAGTGACAGTGACTGAGAGCCCAACTTACACCGTGCATGCCAAGCAAATGTTGATCTAGTAGAATATGACTTGGTAAAAAGCTCTTACAAGTGAGAGCATGCTGCATGGAGCATGGAGAATCTAGGATGTACTTGTCTATCCATGCGAGCTCTTCAATCTTTTACAAAAAGCACCAAGAAATCAGCTTGTGTTGTCCTGCAGGACTCCGAGAAGCCAATACATGGCATGATTACATATCTTGATGCAGTTAGTCAAAACCGTGTAAGGTTTAAATGCATTCCTAAATAATTTCCTTCCTGTCAGGAAAGTGACTTCGCGATGGTGACATGTCTAAATTCCTTTCTCCTCCCCCCCCCCAAAGAAATGCTTGCAGAAAAATCACTTCAAACATGTCTGCATAATTCATGTGCATGCTACATTAATGGGTCTTTTACCTTCTACATGTCTCCTAACAGTCCACACAGCATTGGGGTTACCGGGCAGTTCAGAGACAGCCATTTCTGAAACCTGAAATATGATGAATTCTTTAACACATCAAAATATAAATAGTCTGTGGAAAAACCTACAATCTAAACCGTAAAACCGCATAGAGTGCGAAGGACTTCTTAATGCAGTGGGTGTCAAATTTCCATTTTGCAAGCATGTTGTGAAAGCTGCCACGGAAATGCAACTCCTAGCAACACAAACCTCCAGTCCATGTCTCAAAACTCTCAGTGTAGATCTGGGTCCCCTGCCACACGCCACATATAGCTGCGGGGTGTCTTCATTAGCCAAATCAGCAATCTGCAGTAGTTACAAAAAAAATATAAAAATAAAGGTTAGGGGACAAAAAAGGCAAATTCAACACTACTTGGAGAGGAATTTGAGTAGCTTTCTTCATTACATAAGTGAACTGATAGTACAAAGAGGAGAACAAAAAATCTGAAGCGTTTATATGCTTAATTACCCATACTGAAATCTCACTAAACACTCTGCAATTTGGTAACGACAAAACAAGCAGTTCAATATCGCAGTACATCTGCTCTCATGCCAAAATGTAACCCCGCTTCCCGTCTGTAATTCCCAGCTTAAGTGTGAGCACACAAATTATAATTTATTAATCTTCACTGCAAAATACACATTCACACACCTGGCAGGACATGATGGGAGAAAGATTTTCTTGCTCGTCGACCAACACAAGGTTCTTAAGGGGGCGAGGTTGGAAAAAGAATGTGTCTCCCTCCTCCAAAGGCATTGCAGAGGAAAACTCTGGTTCGTCGTCGTCATCACCCAAGTGGGCAATCTGATACAGGTAGCTAACAAACAAAACAAGGTTTGGATTCACACTTGCAAAGCTATTTAGCACAATGTTTTCTACGGTGCAGATTAATGAAAAGCTTCAGGTTAAAGAGAACCCAAGAAAAGTATGGTTACACTGACACTACATAGTTTCTGGTAACTGAAACTACTGCTCCCACATTCCTCCCTCTTATCAGCTGCTGTAATCTAGATACTACTCTGAAACTTGGGGAAATGCCACCAAATCTGAGGTATTTAGTTATTTTTAGGTGAATGAAAGCATGTGCAAGACAGAAAAGGGACTTACTGGTTTCCAAACTCTGTAGCAACAAGTAAGAAGCCAGTCTTCAAAACACACATGGCTGTAGACACTGGGATGGTATCAAAATACTTCATCCTGATCTCAGTAACCTAAAGTATGAATAGATATTCAATCCATATCACTGTCCAGCATTTCAACCTCTCATGTGTGTATTCTGACACCAGATCTCTCTCCGGTTCATTGGACACAGTCAATGTTATATTAGAGCTTTCACTTTAATCTATTTCCTTGTGAGCTTCATTAATAAAACCACTATGCAATGCTGCATTCTAGACATGTGCCGGTATTCGGTAATGCGCTATATCCCGATAATGAACATGCACGATATTGTTATCATGGGCAGATCAAAATACTGAGACTAGTTACAAATTATTCAGAATTTAATGCATTAAGAATACTTTTCCCATCAACTGGTCACAATGCACAACACCGCTGTATGCTGCATCAAAGACGCATGCACACTCATGTAAACAAGCACAGATGAGAAGCGCATGGCAGAACGAGTGAGAGACGCTCTGGATGAAAGCGCACATTTACTCTGACAGCAGATGGCGTTAAACAGCAGAAATGCAGCCATTACTCCGGAAACCCCGTAAACAAAGCAGCTGTTACTTTCGGTTTCTGAAACGTGCTTAAATTATTTAAATAGCCATTCAGATTTGTGTATTCGCTATGATGTTCATCACAGCGCCAAATACTTACATTTTTAAACTTAAGCTATTTAATTTTCAAACTGTGTTTAAATTTTATTCTTGACTACCGCATGCCCTTAATTTTGTTTGAAAATGTTTTGATTCTTTATTGTTCGGTAACAATTTACATTAGGGCTTCATTAGTTAAACTGCCATTCATTAATCTTAGGTAATTCCAATATTTAATAACATGTTAAAATCAAAAGTTTATTTAATGAGCTAACATGAACTAGGAGCTGTATTTTAACAAAGATTAATAACTTTTGCATTAAATGTAGCTATTGCTCATTGTTAATGTTAATGCATTAACTAAGGTTAACTAATGAGATCTTATTGTAAAGTGATACCCATTGTTTTTTTTTTTTAAATTCCACAGATTAAAGTGCAAAATAATTATTACTTTATAAATTTTTGTGTATTGCTTTATTGTATTTAAATGTTCAGTTACTTTTGTAATAAGAAAAAAAGTTATTAAACCTGTTATACTGTATTATGACAACACTCTGTACAACTAAATTTCAATATCGTGATAATACCATATACCATGATAAAAGCATTAGCAATTAATTGCAACGTGAAAATTTGATACCGGCATATCCCTACTGCATTCCATTCAAAGTCAGACAATGGATTTGTTTTGCAGGCATGCAATTTTCAGCAGAGGTTTTAACAGTATTTTACACATCTTTCTCTGCAAATATCTGCCTAATTGTATAAAAAGTAGGAGAACTTTTCAATGCATTTTCAGCATCAACTGTGTTCGGGTAATGTCATGCACCCACATTTCTTTAAAGTCTGCGTTGAAATTTTCCAAGTTGCAAATACAACTTCAAGGGGGTTTTACCTGAACATTTTCGGTTCGAAATTCAGACTTTCAGTGTTGAATTGAATACAGTAAAAGTAATTAATGAATGTAATTACACTTTGCTTAAACACCTTTGTACATCCATGAAAAAGAAACAGATGACAGTTGGGTTTTTAGTTCTATGCACTCACCATCTCCTCATCAGTTTCCAGAGTAACTTTAAAGATGTCTCCCTGTTCTGTCTGGGCTAGAAAGAAAAACATGGATTTGGTCTTGTGGGTGGCAGAGCAGACAAAGATCATGCCTCGCTCAGGATCATCCAGGTCATTCTGAAAAATAAAAGCGCTGGTCACATCTCACATCTGTGTTTAATTTATTCAGTAAACACAATGACTGAGAACTAAACCATACGAGGTCAAAACGATATTAGGATCAGAGATCTTTATGCGTCTCCAGTTTAATAGTCAGAGAAGAGACATGAAAAGCTCATCATTTCAATACTAATAGCTGTTTAGACTTCTCAAGTTGATGTTTAGTTGATTGTGCTCAAACAGAAACACAAAGGGGAAGACCATACAAACTCACCCTTCTGCGTGGGATTGGGCAACGGATGTCTGGTTGGTCTCCAAAGTTTTTGTAGGTGATATAGTTCTCAGAGCAAATGAGCACACCACTGGGACCATCCGAACCACCAGGAACTACGACGCACAGGGGAAAAGGGCAGATTAGCACAAACTCATAAGACACTTAGCAACATTTTTCTCCTCTGAAAGCAAAACTTTCTTTGCCGAGCCCAGGAAGATCAGATATCAAAACAATCTCTTCACCAAACAGTCAGAGAAGAGACATGAAGATATTCATCATTTCTGACAACGCAACAAAGAACATTACTTGTAATCTACGGTTCAATAGTTTGGGGTCTGTAGGATTTTAATGTTTTTGAAAGAAACTTATGCTCACCAAGGCTGCATTTATTTCATAAAATTACACTGTAAAACCACTAATATTGTTAAACATAACTTTAAATGTTTCAATATTTTAATTTATTCCTGTGATGGCAAAGCTACATTTATAGCAGACATTACTTCAGTGTTCAGGGTCACATGATCCTTCAGAAATCATTCTAATATAAAGATTTTCTGCACAAAATTTTTTTTTTTTTAAGTATTTTTTTTTTTCAGGATTCTAATAATGAATAAAAGGAGCATTTATTTGAAACAGAAATCTTTTGTATTAATCTTTACTGTCGCTTTTTGTTCAATTTAATAACGTTTACAAATCACACTATTTTTTTACACCAATTATCTCAACCACAATTATGGTGAAATAAGTGCTAGATAATAACGGTGTTGTGCTAAAGGTATTGCAACATTGCCTATCTTGTGAATCCTTATCTAGCATTTGACATCTTTACATTCTAAAAAGATCAGTACCTGTGATGAGGAAGTTGCCGTGTTCCTCCAGTGCCTCGCTGTACTTGCGCACCACATGGTTGAGGCCCAAGTCCAACTCATAGAAGGTCAGAGTCTGCTGTGTGTTTGCCGCAGCCTCTCCGGTGGGATCATTATCGGCCTCCTGCAAAAAACATTTAACACTGTGGATTAGAGACATGTCACCTAACTGATTATATTTGTAAAACCATGAAAAACCAGGATGAAGTAGTATCATGGCACTGGCTACATGCAAAAACACCCCAATCTGT